AAAGAGTGTTCCTGGGTGCGTTTGTGTCCTTTTGTTAGTCTTTTAGTATTGAATATTTCATTGATATTTCACATTTATTTACGTGTTCTTATTCAAGCTTCAGCGATACTGACTTGAAGAGTCTCTATAGTGGGCAGAAGTATTTTCATACTCTGGGTTTTGAAATATTCATCAGCGAAGCCCCCGACTTCAGCACTCACAGGCCTGTTATTATCCTCAGATTGTGAAATATCAGTGCATGAGAGTAAATGCTGCTAATGAAGTGCTTTGGAGACAATTGTGGATGACTGGACAATAGAGCTCTGTTGTGTGAATGTAGGTCACTGTGTGTGTGTGTGTGTGTGTGTGTGTGTGTGTTCTCTTTGATGCTCGTTTCTTCTCTTGTTTGGACACATACAGAAATGCATTTTATTTGAAAGAAAATGTGAGTAGTGCGTACAGGACTTACTGCCATGATGCTTTGATGGTGTTGCTATGTGGTTGCTTGTTGCTAATGTGTTGTGGGTGGTTGTTAGAGTGTTGCTGTGTGGTTGTTAATGTGTTGTGGGTGGTTGCCAGGGTGTTGGTATGTAGTTGCTTGTTGCTGATGTGCTGTGAGTAGTTACCAGGGTGTTGCTATGTGGTTGCTAATGTGTTGTGGGTGGTTGCCAGGGTGTTTCTATGCAGTTGCTAATGTATTGTGGGTGGTTGACAGGGTGTTGCCATGTGGTTGCTAATGTGCTGTATGTGGTTGCCAGGGTGCTGCTATGTGGTTGTTTGTTGCTAATGTGTTGGCAGGCTGTTTAAATGCCGTTGCTAATGTGTTGTGGGTGGTTGCCAGGTGGTTGTTATGCGGTTGCTAATACATTATGGGTGGTTGCCAGGGTGTTGCTATACAGTTGTGGGTGGTTGCTATACAGTTGTGGGAGTTGCTAATGCATTGTGGGTGGTTGCCAGGGTGTTTCTATGCACTTGCTAACTTGTTGTGGGTGGTTGCCAGGGTGTTTCTATGCAGTTGCTAATGCATTGTGGGTGTTTGCCAGGGTGTTGCTATGCGGTTGCCAATGTGTTGTGGGTATTCCTAGGTGGTTGCTAGGGTGTTCTGGGTGGTTGATGAGGTCCACGTGAATGAGTACATAATGATGTTAAAAAAACATGTAGAGAGAAAATAAAGTTAATTTTGATGCCATTTGATTATGATGTGTGTGTATGTGATGGAGACTCTGGTCTGGTTTGGACTTGGTTCAGAATGGTCTCTCATTTAGTCTGAGCTCATGAGAGGAAATCACTGCAGCTGTAAACGTGCTCACAGACCAACCACAAACTCCATCTCCTCAGACATTAGAGCAACAACAACTCATTATATCTCACAAAGACAGAGAGAAGAGGAGAGATGATGTGGCAGATGTTTAAATGGGTAGTTCACCCAAAAACCTTAAAAATTCATAAAATAAAATAAAATAAAGGTTCATACTTCACTGATCAGGCATTGGTCTTTCATAGCTCATATGAATGGAGATCTCAGTTATATTTCATTCACATTTTTTCATGTTTAAAGGAGACAAGTGAGATAACTGGGGTCTTTTTCTCAGGAGAAACATCTCCATCAGGAGAATTCAGCAAAGTTTAATCTCATTCTTGCCTAGGAGCAATAGTTGAGATATTAAAGATATTTTTTACAAATATTGTTAATTCTATGCCAAATTGCTTTTGTTCCTCTAGTGCAAATCGCTTTGGATAGAAGTGTCTGCTAAATGCATAAATTGAATGTAATTCCTCATGTTGTTCTAAACCAGTATGACATTATTTGTTTTGTGTAACACAACAGGAGATGTTTAGCAGGTTTTTATTCTTTGTGTTTGTTGTGTATATTCTGCTTGTGTCGTATCATTTATTTGTCATCATATGAGTGCAGAGCATCTCTCGTGTCTCTTTAGGGGAAGCACTCTGTTATTTTTGGCGTGTGGTTGTCAGTTTAACGGGGCACAAACACAGTTGCCCGGCCACAGAGCTCTGCTGCGCGCCAAAGCTCTTCAGAGCACTCTCTGAGCCATATGTGCTACAGATGGGTCAGTCTCTAGTGCTGCCGCGGTCCGGTCCGAGGTCATTAATCAGGGCTCTAAGTGCTGCCGGACCACAGCAGAGAGGAATAATGGGCCATAATCAGACGTCATCAGAACATCAGGATGATTTACCTGGATAATCTCCTAGATAGAAACTAAAAATGGCTGCATTGCACTCTGGATATTATTTAATTTCTCCTGAAGCATGCCTCTAATTACGACATGCTACTTGTAAACTGCTTTTAAAGGTGAAATTTGTATTTTCCCCTTATTTGACTGAAGGAGGAACCTGAGTTATATCGTAGAAATTCAGTAATTGACTCTTAATTTGCTGGGCTAGTACACAACCACCTGGCACACTTTAGCAACCACCTAACAACACCCTTGGGACCACCTTAAACATCCTAGCAACACCTTAGCAACCACCTATCACATTATATCAGCCACATTGCAACACCCTGGCAACCACCTAACAACACCCTTGGAACTGCCTTGAACATCCTAGCAACACCTTAGCAACCACCTATCACATTATATCAGCCACATTGCAACACCCTGGCAACCACCTAACAACACCCTTGGAACTGCCTTGAACATCCTAGCAACACCTTAGCAACCACCTATCACATTATATCAGCCACATTGCAACACCCTAGCAACTTCATATCAACAGCTTGGTATTCACTCACATTTTCAGAAAATGTATAAATCTGATTATTTCTATAATTCTGTAATTTTGATAGTGTAAAATTTGATGTAGAATTAAACACAGCTACTTTAGCGCTGGTTTGGGCCAAACCTAGCAAACCTTTGCAACCACCTAACGACACCCTTGCAACCACCTAGCAACACACTTTCAACCACCTAACACAGCCTAGAAACCACATAGCAACACACTGGCAACTACTTAGCAACACCCCAGCAACCATCTAGCACACCTTAGCAACTACACAGCAACACCCTGGCATCCACTTAGCAACACCCTATCAACCACCTAGCAACTACACAGCAACAGTCCAGCAACCACTTAGCAACAACACAGAAACAACTTAGCAACCACTTAGCAACTACACAGAAACATCCAAGCAACCACCTAGCACACCTTAGCAAGTACACAGAAACATAACACCCTAACAACCATCGATAACATCCTAGCAACCACCTAGCAGTGCCTTGGCAATCACCCAGGACACTTTTGCAACCGCCTTGTAATGCCTTCCAAACACCCCAACAACCACCTTAACAACTTCCTAGTAACCACCGTGCAATGCCTTACAAACTACCAGAACACCTTTTAATAACTGACCACCTTAAGCTCCTTAGCAACACCCTAGCAACCACCTAGCAGCTACACATAAACATCCCAGCAACCACCTAGCAACACCCTAGCAACCACCTAGCAGCTACACATAAACATCCCAGCAACCACCTAGCAACACCCTAGCAACCACCTAGCAGCTACACATAAACATCCCAGCAACCACCTAGCAACACCCTAGCAACCACCTAGCAGCTACACATAAACATCCCAGCAACCACCTAGCAACACCCTAGCAACCACCTAGCAGCTACACATAAACATCCCAGCAACCACCTAGCAACACCCTAGCAACCACCTAGCAGCTACACATAAACATCCCAGCAACCACCTAGCAACACCCTAGCAACTTCATAGCAACACCTTGGTAGTCACTCACATTTTCAGAAAATGTACAAATCTGCTTATTTCTGTAATTTTGATGCCATAAAATTTGCTGCAGAATTGCACACCGCTGCTTTAACGCTGGTTTGAGCCAAATGTAAATCTAATAGCTGACTACAAAACTGACAATTAAAGTTGAAGTACAGTCTGCTGTGGAAGAGTTTAATCTATGTTTAAAGACGCAAACATCAGTCTCCACACACTCAAGCACAGAATGAAAACTGACAGTCTTAAACCTGAAAACACACCAACTCATGGGCACTTGTCACCTAAATTGAGGTCCCCATGGGTACAGAAGCTTATAAATCATACAGACTGAGTTTTTTTGATTAAGTAAAAATGCAGAAAGTTTTCTGTGAGGGCTAGGTTTAGGTGTAGGGTTGGTGTAGGGCGATAGAAAATACAGTTTGTACAGTATAAAAACCATTATGCCTATGGAGAGTCCCTACAAGGATAGCTAACCAGACGTGTGTGTGTGTGTGTGAGGGATTATGGGACTTGAGCAGTCACTGTCTCTCTCTCTGAGCCTCTAATCATTTTTACTGTGAAAGATTTGAGCGCGCTCACTGAGCCACTTACTATTCCACAGCCAGTGTTTGCATGCATGAATCGTTCGCGTCCCTCATTGTTTCCCTCGAAAATGTTGTAGCAATGTAGGAACAAAAGCTTCTACAGTGTATTAATAATGCAAAGCTGAATATGAATGAGTTCGAATAACCTTAGTCTTGTGTTTGCCGGTGCTCAGTATCACATTGATGGATTCATTTTGAATTAAACAGCCACTCAAATAGAATTTATTTTGCACTTAGAAAATGTGCATCATTTATTATTTGAATAGATGCAAAAACATACATTTCATAAAGAAAAAAAAGCCTTTTTGAACAAATGCTCATGTTCTCGACTGTCCGTGTGTTAAACTGGCTCATATTCAAGTGTGACTCAGTGCCATCTCACCCTCGTTTCGCAGCGAGCTCATCCTGTCCAACATCGATGCCGGCGTTTCCGGAAATTGGCAGTGTCACGTGACCAGTTCCCGTGGCAACAGCTCAATCGGCATGGAGATTGTGGTGCTGGAGACGACGGCGCTGTACTGCGTGGCCGAGAGGGTCAGTAGCAACAAGGGCGACTTCAGGTGTGTCCGCGGCTACGGACATCACACACAGACATGAGTTTCTTTCTTCTGTTAAACACAAAAGAAGCTATTTTGAAGAATGCTGGGAACCCAACAGTTGTAGTATGGAAGTCAATGGCTACCGTCATTGTTTATAATAATAACTTTTTTTTTTTTCTCCGTGTGCAACAGAAGAATGCAACTCATTCAGGTTTGGAGAATTTTCATTTTTGGGTGAACTATGCCTGTAAAAACCACATCACAGATTGTGTAATTGTGATGCTTCAGTGCCTCCTTTTTATTTTAATGTCAGTTCTCTGATTCATCTGCTTTTATAGCTCCATGTTCTGTGTTTATGCAGCACACATCTGTAATGGGCTGGAAAATGAGCCTGTTGTTAGCAGAGGAATTAATGTCATTTGTGCATTACTGACAACAACAAACGGACACTGTTCATGTTCACAAACTCATGTGAGAAACTCGTCAAAAGACACTGCCATTCAACAGTTTGGGGTCAGAAATTAATATTTTTATTCAGCAAAGATGCATTAAATTGATCAGAAGTGACAGTAAAGACATTGATAATGTTACAGAAGATTTCTATTTCAAATAAATGCTGTTCTTCTGAATTGTTTCTTGAGAAATTTCAGCTTTGATCACAGCAATAAATTACAATTTAACACATACTCGCATAGAAAACAGCTGTATATATATATATATATATATTATGGTTTTCAATCCTCAATTTCTAATTGTTATCATCAAAGACAGGAATAAATTTCAGCTTAAATTATTATAATTTTAAATGGAAATTATTATTGAATTATATTTCAAAATTTTTACTGTGTTTTTGACCAAATAAATGCTTCCTTGTTGAGCATATGAGACTTCTTTCAAAAAACATTTAAAAATCTAAATTATTAAAAACTTTTGACAGGTAGTGTCAGTAAAAAAAAAAGTGTATGTATATATATATATATATAAATATATATATATTTTTTTTTTTATATTTATAACACTAAACTACTGTGT